CAAATTTAAACTAACGAATTATTGAGCTGCCATATTTTAAACATGGTTTGATTTTACCGCGATTATATGACGAAACATTATTGTAAGACATGACGGGTTGTAAGACGAGTAGAGTTGTTAACTACATATAAATAAATTTTAAATGTTTTTTAAAAAATAAAAATTTAAGTGTTATTATTATTTTAACTCTAAATTGAAGTATTCCTGAACTTGCTAAACATGACTTAAATTTTTCGACGATTATATGACATGACGGGTTGTAATATGTTTTCAATGGATTATATGATGGGACGAGTTGTAAAACTGGACGAGTTTGAATTGATATTAATAATAAAAATTATTAATTTCATACTTCAATACGGGTAAAAATCTTTATTTTACTATTTTTTAACAACAACGATATAGGACATGTATAATCAAAATGATTTAGTAAAAATTGATAATATATAATCTTAATAATAATAAAATGAACTCGAACAAAATCTGTAAATTTTTTAAAATAGGAAGTACAAATTAAATGTTTGTCCTGCGGTGTACCGCGGATTAAAATTTAGTTTAAATATACACATGTAAGAGAAAATAATGGTCTTTTATTATATCTAAATATAGAAAATGTATTCAATATGATGGGCTCGTATATGCTTGTTTGGTTCCATTCCCCATTGAGTTTAACCAGGCCCATAGTTGACCAAATCAGTCTGTTCAAATATCAACCAAAATTCATTGGATAAAAAAAAACGATTTATGCTTAAACCAAGTTTCGATCAAGTAGCTGGCCTATAATTTGATATTTTTGTTAGAAATCAACCTAAGATGATTAATAGTTTTGGTGCGATCACAAATCAATAAGTCAAGCTATCAAACCGAGTTGAATCTCACCTTGACTGTAGCACGAGAATTCATGAAATTATATGTCATTCAAAACTAGTTTGGGAGCCCGTTCGGGCTTTTCGGGCTTTCAGGTTTTTGGGTTTAGACCTTTAGAGTCCATTCGGGTGTATATATATATACTTTCGGCCGGGCTTGAGTTTGGTTCGGGCTATTTCGGTTCTAGATCGGATTTGTTTTGGATTCTTAATAACCGTACTAACAAATAAAATCTTTAAGAAAAGCATAAATTATAATCTAATCTCACCAAATAATAATCCAAATAGAAGCAAATAGTAGAAAATAGCATTGGAGTTTAGGAACGTTAAAAAGAAAAAAAAATAGAAACAAAGCAACACTACGTCCATGAACGTTTAAAAAAAAAGATATACTCCAAATCCGAACAAGTATATGACCAAGTTCAATCATTCTTGGCTCTTTGCTCCATCCTTAAGTTCCAGTTCTTGTTGATTGAGATGTTTAATAAATCACAACCAAAAGTCAGCAATGTAACAAGTCCATGAGCAATAACTGAACTTATATTACCTTGTAACATTGGAGTTTAATCGAATATTCTGAAAGGATTTCAAACTTTGTAAAGTGATAAAACAAAACAAAAATATGAATGAACATCTATAAAAGAAACTTCAAAACGCCTCATCACAACTTAAATCAAATAAAACTTTGGGTATATTGAGTGAGAGACGTATATTATATTGACATTTATGTATAGAATCGAGTTTCAGGCATTTTTTTGGGGTTTCGGGCTTTATTTGAACCCGAATTCAAATCCGAAATTTTTAATAATTAAACTCGATCTGATATATCCTTATATTGGGTTGTATGGGCTTCTCGGATCAGGTTCAGATTCAGGTTTCGGGTTCGGGCTTTTTGCCCATGACTAATCAAAAAATTTGTGAATTTCATGAGGGCTTCAAAATTTTATAAATAACACAGCTATTTTATCAACTTATCGTATTTGGATGATTTCATCTTAATGATTCCAACATCCATATTCTTAGTTCCTTAGTTGTTTTAGACTCCATGACCGTTTTATAAGAAGGCTACAAAATTTTAGTTCTTAGTTCATTGTGGATCAATATTTCAAGGTTGGACCATTTATGTTAGCTAATTGCTCTGGTGTAGCCCTGGGCATAAAATCTGATACCGAAGAACCGAACTGGTTTTGAACCGATAAAAGCGGTATCCGTACGGTCTCGGATCCAGCAAAAATATCCGATTAGGCTTAGACTTCAAGGTAAAAATGGACTTTGGTCCGGGTTTGGATTATAACTTATATCCACTGGGCCCTGGTTATATATCAGACCTACTAAGCAATGTTACAAAGAAAGACATGTGTTGTTGGTGAAAGTTTACAATGCGAGGAAGATATTACATGCATGATATGTTTAATAAATCCATTTTTTGTGATTGCTGATGTCATCGTTTTAATCTTACATATGAGATTGTTTTGGCTATCGCATGTAACAATTTATATTTGTTAATGATGTCAAAAATGTTAATGAAGAACTCAACAGTCTCTCTAATCACCGGAAACCTCATTGAACCCGGAGGTAACTTACCAAAGCACTTAGGGTTTGCCCATTTACAGAACCGGAGAGTAATTTTCACAGCCATCAAAGCTATAAGAATACTGATTATCAGCAAACGTAAAACCCACAAATATACTATAATCTAAAATAATCAAAGTTACAGCCACTTTTTCATGTTAAACAGAGACAGCTGACCAGACAAGTGCATGAATTTATTAACCAATACAACCCTTGAGTGTATGGTTATTTGATTAACCAATGAATAGTTACTATTAAACAAACGGTTGCAAACGTTCGTCACACCCATTGATTTAAAAAAGACACATTTTTTGGCTTTTATATATTTATGAGATTAAACAGTGACCCTTAGATCAAATGAAAAAGAAAAACGATCTGAACCGTTATATTTACAAGATGACATCAGCAATAAACAAAAAGATGTAGAATATTTATATTTGGAACGAAGAGGGTGAATGTGAAATATTGCATTGATTAAATTCCAGCGGTTCAAAGACAAGACACAACTTTAGAAAAAGGTTTTAGTAAAAAGACACATCATTTTAAAAAGACACATATTTTAAAAGACACATCCTTTTAGAAAGACACCATTTTGGCTTTTATATATTTTTGAGAATAAACAGTGACCCTTAGATCAAATGAAAAACAAATCTGGACCGTTAGATTCAAAAGAAGACATTAGCAGTAAACAAAAAGTGAGTTTGCTATTATATATATATATATATATTATTTATAGAATAAAAAATAAAAATAAAATCTTAAAATACAAAGATTAATAGTATTATTGAAGAAGATAAAATTTTGTAAGTAAATTTAAATTGAAATAACATAACAAGATTTGTAATGAATATAGATTTATTAATTTGTAAACAAAACCAAACTCAGTTTTGCTTACAAAAATTTATAAATTTATATTCATTACAAAAATTAAACAAACCCAATCTACTCCTGTGGAATTTTGCTTACAAATTAATAAATCTATATTCATTATAAATTCTCTTAGGTTATTTCAATTCAGTTTTGCTCAATAAAATTAATCTTCTTCAATAATACTAAAGTAATTTTTGTGTTTTAATATTTTATTTTTATTTTTACATTATAAATAAATAATATTAGTAAAACAATATATCAATAATAAAAATTACTTTTTGAGTTAAATATTAGTTTTTATGAAATAAAATGTAAAATTATTGACACATATTTTAAAAATTAATAATTGAGTTAGATAGTAATGGTAAAATTGGATTTTTTTGGTTTGAGAATGTGTGTATGAATTTACCAAAATTTAAATAAACGAAATATTTTTATATAAAAACTAAATAAATAAAGTTTTTTTATTCTAATTGAAATTTACAGGTTTTAAACAATGGTTATATATCCGACCTACTAAGCAATGATTCCTCTATATGTATAGTGTATACCAATTCAATCACAAGGTCATCCCTAATCTTTCTAAATTATCTAATCCGATGATGTGTTAGGTTGTTCTTAAACTTATGTTATCATTAAACTATGGATTATTTCTTAAGTTCTTGTTTTGCGTATCGGTTATTTACGTTATTTACTCGGTTATTTAGGTTATTTCATTGTTTATTTCTAATTTTAATCGATTATCTCGGGTATTAATCGGTTATTTGAATAATTTGGTTATTAAACATAACCAACCGTTCATAACCCAAAAACTTTTTGGTATCAATCGGATTTTGTATTGGAGAAGAAAACCGACCTGAACCCGGCCAGTTACTAACCGAATCGATCTGAATTTTTGTAAAATACCAATTAGGATCTATATGCTTTATACCGATTCACCCGCCACCGAAATTACCTGACCCAAAACCCGATTGGTTCCCGATTGCCCAGGACTGGTATATTTTAGGCATTTAGCGCTTGGAACAATTTGGTGGTTTTTTTTTTCACTCTCTTTATTAAGAAATGTTTTTTTTTTCTTTTTTTTGTAGTTATGAATTTTGTATGATTAGTGAGATAATTGTTATTTTTTGTATGAACCTTTGTCTTGTCCAGTGACTAAACTCTCCCTAACCAATCACATATATCGATTTTAAAACACTGCAGAAAACTAATGACCAAGTTTTCTTTATTAAAATGTACTAATCGAGTTGCAAATATAAAATTGGTCTCACACGTATTTATCCTAGTCTTATATTTTATGATAATTTTGGGTTCACATGTAAATCATTCAAGTCTTACTACCTACAAAATAATTTGGGTTGACAAGACAGGATCTTAGATATTTTCTCCAATTTATATTCAAGTGGGATCTTTATATATCCCCAAACTAAGTTTTCCAAGTTTTTGCTATTTTATTCAATTACGAAAGCTTTTACTTTTAAACTATGCTCACTGAAACTAGAACATATCAATTAAGTTGGACCAATTCAGAAATATCTTATACATTTTCAAGAGTCAAATACGCTGTCGAGGAAATATTGAAATCATGTGTTTGACCAAAAATGTAAAATGATGAACGCGTAACATGGTTTCGTTTATATATATATATGCACAAATCTACTACATCCATTACCTATACTTCAACCAAAAAACATGTACAAAATCGTGGTTTGCATACTAAGTTTGAGTTTTATCCTATTCTCTGGATCACTAAACACAGTATTGGCTCGAGTACAATATAGATCTCACAGTCCAAGTAAGTATTGACTCGATATGGTTGTAGTACAAAATATTCAGTTTTGTTTTGTACAATTTGATCTTCTGATTTTGATTTCCATGTTTTGTAAATTATATATTTAAATTAAGACGTTTTTAAATTATGTATATTTGAATTTAGATTTTAGTAGAAAATGAAAGAAAAAAAAAAGAAAAAAAATATTTCTTCTTCCTATGATCTTATCAGTTTTTTTTCCTTAAACTCAAAACTGATTAGCTTATTGTTGCTTTCTTTCTAGGGAATGAAATAGAAAATGGGGTTTGGGATCAAAAGGTCTTCAACGAGATCAAGATTGCCGCAGGAGGGAGTAATTCAAACCATGCTCCTGGATGTGCACATAGTTGTGTACCTAAACCAAGCAAATGATCATGACTAACGAAACGCATCACTACAAGGCTTTGAGCATAGGAATAATATGGGTTACATATGTATATTATTTCCTTGTGGCTCTGATATATATAACCAAATGTAATATCAAGAGATTTATAAATAACAAAGTTTTGTTTATCACACGTCTATTTTTAATTGTAAAAATATAATGAATATTAAAAAAATTCTTTGATTTAGTATATTGTGTATTCTTTTTTTTGTTTTGTGAAAAACAAAAACTAGTGCCATTTTAGCTAATTTCTAGAATGTAATATTGTTTACAATATCAATGATTAGTAAACATAAGAGTAAGACTATAGTCTAGAGTCTTAATATGTTCGGCTTCGTATCCTCTGAGACGATTGGATTTTTTTTGTTCAACGTTATCATGTTTGTTCGAAAATGGTTGGTGAAATCAAAGTGAGAGACTCATGATCATCCACTAGGAAACGAACTTGTGCCATGCTCCGGAAAAGTTCTTTTCATGGGTTTCTTTCTCGAGCCATGATCTTTGGACCTTAATCTTGGAGCATTATGGTCAAGACGAAGGTTTTGGAGAAGACAAAAAAAAATTCCTCCAAAAGATTAGTTGACGATCTTATAATAAAAAAAGAATTACATAGTTTAATAAGCCAATTTCTAAGAGAAAGATGGAAAGGTGGGAAGGTCTTTCTATAAGCTTCGGATCACCCGAGCTTATTGATCACAAAAACATGACAAAGTGTAGAGATCATGAAAGATTTCTCAAGGCTAAGAGTCAAACCATGACAAAGTAGCGGCTGAGACTCCCATGCTTCCAAGGGATTCATTAAGAAATAAGATCTCCCAAAAACTTAGAGGATTATCCAAAGAAAAAATACGTGCACAAAAAGACACTTTTAAACTGTAAAATGGAATTTTTTATATAAAATGATTCATCCAAACTGTAGTGGAGGAGATGAGCCTAGAAAAAGCTCTTACAACAAAGATTGATGGAAAAATATACCACTACAAGAAATTTGCTAATTGATAGCACTAATTCTGTAACTGTTGTTAAAGATCAAGTTTGGATTTTCGCAACTATACTACATCGTTTAATTAACGCTAAGCCCATTTATAGCAACACGGGAAGCAAAAATAATTTTGGCGGCCCAATACTTTATTCTTATCGCTCTAACAGTTAGCGAAAAAGAACACTTAGAAAAAAAAAGAAAAAAAGAAACAAAGTCTCGATAACGCTCAAGCCCTAAAGACATCTCGAGCTTCAGGTGGATATCGTCGCCGGACCTAAACTCTATTAGTTATGAAAGCCAAGAATCGGTCCCTCTTCAAAGCAAGAGAATACTAAGAACACCAGATAATTTGATTGGTAGTTGAGACTACCTATTTGGTCTTTTTTTCCTTGATTAAATAGAGAAACACTTACTGGAAGCAAACACAATGAAATAGAAAATGGAATAACTCACACCTACAAAACAGGAAATGGGAAAGTGGAGAACTCATCTTCTCAAAACGAGAATGACTAATTCTCTTATTGAAAACAGAAAAAGATGAATTCACGACCTCCACTTCATCAACTCAAATATCGCATGTTTGGCTTATGTGTCCTGTTTGATTTCCTTGGCGCCAAAACTTGATCTTCTTGTATCTCATCAATACTCTCAGCCTATAAAAGAACCTTGTCCTGTTTGTGGGTGATAAACTGACGACATGCAGAGTGTAGTGCCTGACAATTTCCAGAACTCTTTCCAAAAATTGCTGAAATACACGGGGTCGCGATCACTGAAGATAGACCGAGGCATGCCGTGAAGTTTAACCACGTTCTCCACAAACTTGGATGCAACAATAGAGGCGGTGTATGGATGCTTTAACGGAATGAGATGAGCAGACTTACTCAATCTGTCCACGACCACCATGATTGTTTTGTGGAAGTTAGACCGAGGTAAACCGTCGATGAAGTCCATAGAGATGTCTTCCCAAACTTGGCAAGGAATCGACAATGGTTGGAGCAGTCCAGTTGGTGACATAGTCTGTGCTTTGGCCCGTTGGCAGGTATCGCACTAAGAAACATATTCCACCACGGATTTGTGCATCCATGGCCAATAAAACTGTCGCGATAATCGTTTAAAGGTACGTAACACACCTGAGTGACCGACCATTAATGTTTTGTGATGCTTGTAGAGGAGGTGTTGGACGAGCGGTGATGTGGGTGGAATGGCAATGCGATTGTTGTAGCAAACCAAGCCTCCATGCCAAGCAAACGGACATCCGGGTTTGGTGGTTGCTGTTGCACCGATACTGATTAAGTATGGGTCGATGGAGGCGAGCTGGCGGAGATCGTCCCATAGTGTTGTGTAACCGATAGAGATGTGCTGAAGAAGTGGGCTATTTGGAACACGAGATAGAGCATCCACCAATGTATTTGCTTTGCCGGGCCGATAGACAATTTTGTAGTCATAGTCAACGAGCTTCTGTTCTGGTGTGAGGATACTCAGTTCCAACATGTATCAAAGGCTCTGATGTACGGTCTGGATAGTGAAGCAGCGACCCAGAAAGTATGGCCTCCATGTACGAATAGCAATGATGATGGCAAGCTTTTCGCGGGCGTAAGTGGACCAACTATTCTTTGTCACCCCTAAGGACCTACTCATGAAAGCAATTGGCTGATAAAATTGAGAGAGACCGGCCCCAATACCGTCACCGGATGCGTCGGTCTGAATGACGAAGAGCTTGGTGAAGTCTGGAGAGCGAGATTTGGTGTTGTTTTCATGGCTGTTTTGAGCTGATGGAAAGCGGCGTCAGCAGCTGCACACTAAGAGGTTGGTAAGTGGACGTGCAATGATGTCGCAGTTGCGAACAAGCTTGTAGTAGTACCCGGTTAGGCCGTGATGGTGGTGGGGATTGGCCAATCGAGCATCACTTGCACCTTGGATTGATCAACCTTGACTTCCGTATCAGTCACTATGTGAACCAAATATTCTGATTCTTGTTTGCCGAAGTCGTACTTCTTGAACTTGATAGATAATTGATGTTGTTGGTAGAGAGAGAATACCTCGCGCACATGTTGTAGGTGGGATGACCAATCTGGGCTGTAGATTAATATGTCATCGAAGAAGACCAGAACTGACTTGCGTAACAATGGATTGAATATGTCGTTCATCAACGCTTGGAAGGTAGAGGGTGCGTTGCAAAGATCGAACGGTATGACAAGATACTCATAGTGTCCGTGGTGAGTGCGAAAAGCTATCTTGTGCACGTACTCTGGAGGATTCATACGCACTAGGTGGTAGCCGGCAGTCAAGTCGAGCTTTGTGAAGTAAAATGCACCGTGTAGCTCATCTAACATGTCATCGATGGTCGGTATAGGGAAGCGGTTCTTTATAGTTGATGTATTGAGAGCACGATAGTCGGTGTAGAATCGCCAAGAGCCGGCTATCTTCTTCACTATGAGAGCCGGTGAGGAGAAGAGGCTTGAACTTGGTCGAATTATACCTGACTAGAGCATATCTACCACCTGCTTTTCGATCTCGTCCTTTTGGAAGTGAGCGTATCGATAAGGGCAGACGTTAATGGGATCGATTCCTTCTTTCAAGGTGAGGTGATGTTCGATGGTGCGCTGTGGAGGTAAGCGGGAATGAGTGTGGAAGAGACAATCGAACTCGTCGATGAGGATCTTCATGTCTTCGGCCATTGGTGAGATGAAAGAAGGTTCCATTGAGAAGCACACCGCGTAGAACGTCTGACCTTGGCGAGCCTCCTTTGTGATTTTGTTTCTGTCAATGGGCTGGACAATGGTGGATTAAAGGCCTTGTAAGGTGTGGTGCACGCCGGCCCATTGGACTTGCATAGATTGGGCTTTCCAATCGCAGAGGGTAGGCCCAAAAGTCTCTAGCCATTAGATACCATCACGAGATCGAGGCCCACGAGAGGAAGGGCATGAAGAGTCACAATGTATTTTGCCTCGCCCACTTGGAACAACACGTTGTCGTATCACAACTTACATCGTAGCGGTGACCCGTTAGCGACTCTGACGGTGAAGGCCATCGTGGGTGTCACTGGTAGTCGAAGGCGCTGGGCTGTTTTGACACTAATGAAGTTGTGGGTGGATCCGCTATCCACCAAAGCTAATATCGCCTGACCTCCGAGGTGTGCACGAAGACAGATAATCGTTAGCGAATCCCACCCTGATAAAGCGTGTTTTTCTCATCGCAGCTGAAACAAAGTCTTAGGCTGCGCTTCTTCTTCAACTCATCCCAACTCAACCGTTTCGGACCCGTATTGGATCACTCTCGATGTAACCCAATCTTTGCTCGTTTAGGTCGAAATGATGCTGATGATGTAGCTGGGACGTTCTTGGGGCCGTGTCACTTCTTCTCTTGTTGTAACTGATTATCACGTAGCCTCGTGATGAACTCAGTGAGTGTTCGAGGCTTGAAGATGCGAATTTCGCTGAAGATAGAGGAGTAGAGACCTCCAATGTATGCTCCCACCAGCGTCTTCTCCGTCCACCCTTCGACTTTATTCTAGAGACGTTCGAATTTGCGGTTGTACTCTAGCAGTGACCCTTTATGGCGAATGTGGCAAAGGGCTTTTGTCAAAGTCTTCCCCGTCCATGGGACCAAGGGATCTGATGCGAGATGAGACCCAGAGCTTTGGTTTACCCTGCCACCATAAGTTGGCTTCTCTGATGAGATGGTATGATGCAAAGATCACTCGTTCTCCCCTAGACATGTCGTGGTACGTGAAGTATTGTTTAGCCTTGCTTATCCACTCTGTTGGATCATCACCGTGGAACCATGGAAATTCCAACTTAACTCCTCCTCTGCCGCGGTGTTGGTTATCGTGTTTTTCCTGTTCATTTTGGTAGCATGTATTGTATGATGGTGTCTCCTCCTGGTTGCGGGTTCGTGCTGCACTGGGTCCACCTTCGGTATTCGTGGAAAATGACTTCATGGTCTCCATCATACGATTAAAGGACTTCGTGCCAACAAATTCTCAATGCTCTAGAACTTAGCATC